GCACAGGAGGCACCACTCTTGTTTTAGTTGCTGAGCTATCCCATATGGTTCCACTGGTGAGTGCCTGCTGGTCAGAGTGGCCTGGTTATCACCCTGTTTGCTCCCTCATAAAACACGCGGAGAGCCCTGCCGTGGTGGTGCTGGAGTGCTGGAACGGTTCTGTGCCTAACTTGGGGAGGGGAGGGAGATGTTCTGTGGATTCAATCAGAAGTAGTCAAATAGTAGCTGTTTAGAACAGAAGCGAAACGCAGTACAGGTAGCTGATGCTAATGAGGTACAGAATGAAGAATGAAAGGTTTTGGCCTTGTAGCGACTAGTCAGGCCAGTAAGAGTAGGTTCAGAGGGGTGGGGAAAGGAGCGAGTCTGTGTGGTGATTCAGTGTAAGTGTGCAGTCAGATGGGTAATTCAGTTGAATGTGTTTTTTGGTATGTAGTAAGTTGGGTTTTTTTAAACTTCTGTCACAGAAGTAAAGAGATGGAGGTGGTTTGTTTCGAAGCCAGAGCACCTGTGCTTATTTCTTCTGTGCCACTACAGTGGTATTTAGACAGCATGTGCAGGGTGCTGCCCAGGGGTTCTGATTTCACTGTGGAGAGGTACTCAGGAAGGAATTATGGTACAGAAGATTCAGAGAGCAGTGCCCAGTTTAAAGTAAATTCTCTGTGAGATGTAGTAGTCTGTAATATTTTAATACTGTGCAGTATGACCAGGCCAGTTTGGGCAGTGCAGTTAGGCTGGCAAGGTCATTCAGATTCATATTCTTCCACAGTCCTCTTCTGCATGCCAGAAGCCCCAAATTCAGCATTTGGCTCTTGCCCACCATTTCTCAGATTGGTGTCTGAAATAAGCTAGATGAGAGGAAGATGTAAGGCTGTGCAGGAGACTGAAATAGGTTGAGGATTTACTGAGATGTATGTGTAGTGACAGTAGTGGCAGATCAGGGTCTCCTGATAGGAGGAGTTAACACGCTGGATCTCAGATGGGGCCCAAATAGCGTGGAGGATGTCATGCTTGTTGTGGAACTTAGGCTGTTTCCAGCAGACAGTTGTGTCCACACGGAATGGTGCTATCTCCTCCCTTGTAGCACTAGAGCACCAAAAAATCGTCAACACTGGTACTGCGGGAGGCTGTCGTTTGACAGTGTGGCCTGTCACTCCTGGAGGTACCAACGTCACATTGTGAAGTGGGTTTCATCCAACTGAATTTCAGTGTGTGCAGTTAACTAAGAGAAGGTGCAGTGCAGTGTCCTCTACAGAGAGAACTGCGCTGCAGGTGGACTGACGGTCATCTTGCTGTGACTGTTGTCTTTTGTGAATTGGGTGGGTTTGCTCCCAACTCCTGGCTTTGCAAAGTTGGGGCATTGCAGGAATCTGACCTAGAACAAGTTATGTGCTGTAGGTACTTTACCTTTTCCTGAACCAATGCCTATAGTCGGAATAAAATTTCAGTTGGCTTGCAGCTCAGATACGCTTTCATGGTTGGTTGTTGGCCAACTGGAGCCGCCAAAACCTAGGAGAAGGTAATTTCAGCAGCGGCTGATTAATATTTGCACTTGGCCCAGCATGCCATTAGTGATTGTGAAAGAGGAAGTGCAGACCCAGGATGCCAGAGCTTGGATCTGCTTGGGTAAGTGAAGGTGAAGCTAGTGCAAATTACTCATTCTCTCTGGAAAGGTCTTCTGAATTTCACAAAGATGGCAGTTCTGTAGCTACACACGCTTCTACAACAAAAAATTCAGAAGAAACATACTTTAAGAAAGAAAACTTCAAATGTAGCAGGAAATACTACTTTTTTTCCTTGAATTTTCTTGATCTTGGTATTGTAGTTAAACAGATTGATTTTTAAAAAAAGTCTTAAAACAGAGCTTAACATCTGTGTATGTGGCAACCAACACTACATAAATACAGTGTTCCTACTCTAGCTTTAAAAAAGTGTGAATTTCAGGTAAGGACAGCTTTATCCTCTAATCTTTTAATTTTATTTTAGAATTCTGGTAATGAATTGGGTTTCTAGACAACTCCAATTAATTTCTTATAATAACCGTCAGTCTGTTACAAAAGCGCACTGTACTGTTTTCCCATCTCAGTGGTGCAAGATGATTACTTAGATGGTTAGATGATTGCTGATGATGGTTAGTCACTTAGAATGAGGCATTTTGAATTCTCTAGAAACAGGTCTCTCAGCAACCCAGCATACCTGATGTCTGCTTGTCTGTTTGTTTTAGGATTGTGTCTGAGACGAAAGCTGTCACGTTTACGCGTCCCAGGAAGTACATCGTTTCGTCAGGTTCGGAGCCTCCAGAGCTGGGCTATGTTGACATTCGAACCTTAGCAGACAGTGTGTGTCGCTACGATCTCAATGACGTGGATGTAGCATGGTTGCAACTTGCCAATGAAGAATTCAAAGAAATGGGTGAGCAATGAGTGCTTGTGATTTCATGTTAGAATCCGGCCACATGGTTTTTTGCTTTGCTGCTTTCTGCTTCACAAGGGAATTCTCACAAAGTTCCCATTTTGCCATCGAGGTCCTTGAAGAGAACATTAGATAGACCATTCAGGTAGTTTTTTCTAGTTAGTCCTTTTTAAATTTATTTTTCTCTGCGTCGCATGTCCGTATCGTCTTTTTAGCTAGTGGTGTTCAGTGTGAAGAAGGTAGACGAGGAGTCCTGGGAGGTTTAGAGGACCCACGCCAGCTGAATTGTGCAGGGAACGAGACAGGAAGGAATTCCCGCAGTCATTTATTGGAGAAACCTCCCAAACCTTGCTGTGTCCATGTGCTACGGTTCCGAAGCAGGAAGAGGAGCTGTCACAAGGGGAGAAATGTTCCCTTTTCTACAGCATGGTTTGTGTGTGGGAAGGGGCTGGGGAGCAGGGCAAGTACAGGAACATTTCTTTGGGGTATGCTTCAGGAGAGGATTTCAATGGAATTGAAGAGGATGTAAGTCAGCATAGAACTTTTACCACATTGTTTAGATAAGGGAGAAGATGCTGTGCCAGATGGAAGAGGTCTGGACATGCTGGTGAACACTGGCTTTTTTTGTTTTAGCATTATGGCAGTTCCCTGCTTTGCATTACAGTTTAGTCATACGGGTTTTACCTGGCTGTAGCCCATATGTGGCATGGCTTAAGACCTGGCAAAGCCACAAACTGACCATTTATAACTCTTTAAAAGTTTCTCCTTTTTAAACGCACATATGGAAGAAACAGATAACCCAGCCTTGACCTGGTTTCTTACCCAGGCTTTTTTCCCAGATCTCAAGTCAGGCCTGCTCATGTTTAGTATTGGGCTTAGATGATTTCAAAACAGTTAATGATTCAAGAGTTTAGGTTACCTTTCCAGTTATCTTCAGGAAAGCAGCAGCAAGTCCTCTCAACTTTCTTCAAAAAAAATTTCAAATTGATACCCGTCTATCCAGTGTAGATAATCCTCTCTGTCTTTTGCCAAAACCACAGGAGGGCTACTGCAGTGTTACACTGGGGTGTCAATAACATTAGTGATAAAGTGTACAAGAGGAGCTTCATTGGAGATTTGTACCTGTGCGTGAAGCCCTGCGGAAGCCATTCTGCTACACCAACAGAACCTTCAAAAGTACAGATTGCTCATGAAACACCGAACAGCTAGAATTTGATGGATCTGATCTTCGATATTGTGTTTTGGTGTAGTTTCTTGTAGTTCATTTGCTCTCAGTCTCTATCCCCTCAGTTTTGCTGTACGCAGAGGGAAGGAAATGCTCCTGTCAGTATGAGGCAGTACATTGTGGGTCTCCAAATACGTACCTGGGTGCTCTAGCAGACGCTGCAATCGACAAATACTGCGAATAGGCATTTGAAAAGCAAATTATTTCCTGATCTGCAGCTGTAGCTCTTCCTTTATGGTGTCTCTGCAGCTATGAATTCCCTGTGTTTTCTTTGAGACCTGTTGGAGTGCTTCAGGTACTGAAAATGTGTATTCTGTCTTTAAAAGGATGACTGTAAACATTCAAACTGAAGCTGCAGCCCCTTGATTCCCTTTTTTTTTTACCCCTTATAAATGCACAGTCAATGACATATCTCTGTTTTTTATAAAGCGATAGCCATTGTGAAGTTAGAATTTATTTGCAATCTGGTCTAAAACCTGGTATCATCTGCTTTGCTGGGGTGGTATTTCTGGGCTGCAGGGCAAAATTCACTCTCCTTCATTGACAGGATTTTGAATGTTGCCTCTTGCTGCCTTTGAGCTGCTCAGTTTGGGTAGTGTGGGATGCGTTGGTCTCTGCTGCAAGGGTTTACCTGTCAGTAAGGGAAGCTGGAAGTACTTTTGTAGAGTGTCTTCTGATCTGGGGGAGCTGGAGAGGTTTTTTTCTTCTTAGTTTTGTGGAATTCGTGGCTCAGTCACAGGGAGAGCCAGAGGGAGGATTTTCTTGTTAAAACACACATCATGAGGTTGTCATCTTCTGTATGTCACAGTAAACGTTAGGTATTGGGAATTAGACCAAAAGCAGAATATGCTCAGCCTACGCTTCATTGTAGTGATTTGAGTACACGGAAATTCTTGTGCTAAACTGCCTTCACAAGAGGAAAACGATTGCTTGCGGTAGCAAAGCTTTATTGCTTTCATGGGTGTTTGTGTGGCATGGTTTTGCGGTAAAGGTTGGCGTAGTGCCAACTTGGCAGTATTACAGCCAGCTCATTGTCACGGCAAGTGAGAGATGGAAGTCGGGGGGAAGCACTGCGTTTTTTTGATATTTTTCTTGCTGCTTCTATGATAGGTATTTTTTCAGGTCTATAACAGTAATTTAATATAATTAACAAATTCAAATTACAGAATACTATAACATCATCAGCCTATAGCTGTGGTGTCATGAATAATTTTCTGATGGATGCTGTTTGAAAAGACCATATCCTAGTTCAGATGTTGCATTTATTTATTGTCCCAGATTTGATGTTGTATTTATTACAACTGTGTTTTTCACCTTTGAAAACAACCTAATTTATTGGCATAGCAGGTTCTGTTGGAGACCCTAATCGGGGTTGCACCCTATTGGGTTGGAACCTGTGAAAAACCAACAGTTGTTAGAAACTGCAGATTTGCTACAAGTATCATAGCAGATTATTATGTCACTGATTTCCTCCCTCTGCCCCCATCACTTTTGGTTCAGAACACTCTCAAATCTTTTACCGAAGAGTCAACATCTGGGTTGCAATATTGAAGCAAAAGACATAGATGGTGCTGTCCCAGAAAGAAAAATGAGAACAAGACCAGGAAGCCAATATCAGCTTATGAAAGTTTGTCTCAGGATTTTGAAAGATTGGTTTGGAGACTCCACTTCTATTAATTTAATACAGTTATAAGACTTCTTTGACTTTTGCCCCCCAGTTTCCCTAGTTTGTGCTGGAATAGGCATGATTGTCTAGGAATGAAATGTGTACTTGTGGGGGTCAGCTATATCTACTCAGCTGTTGAAAAAAAAGAAGCTGGAGTTGTGCGTGGAGGTGGTGGTGATCACTCTTTGCTTTAAATAAGTAATAACTCCTGTTTCCCAGGCATGCCTGAGCTGGACGAGTACACGATGGAAAGGGTCATAGAGGAGTTTGAACAACGATGCTACGATAACATGAATCATGCTATCGAGACGGAAGAAGGACTCGGTATTGAATATGACGAAGATGTTGTCTGTGACGTCTGTCAGTCTCCAGATGGAGAAGACGGCAACGAAATGGTGTTTTGTGACAAATGCAATATTTGCGTGCACCAGGTATGGCGGCCAGGGCACCTTGGGGGAGTGTAGGGTGATGACAGAAACTTTCCCAAACCATTAAACATAACAGGTTGGATTTTTTCCAGTGACAGATATTGATCTGTTAAGTTCTTGCAGAGTTCACCATTGAGTGGTAGGATGAATTCAGAAATTATGCGATTGAAGAGAATTGTTATGTGTAATTCTAGAAATGTCACGCTAAGAGGGTGAAAAGTAGAATTGTGTATATGTGGAGAAACTTCGAAGGTGAGGAATAGCCTCCCCAAAACACACATGTGCATTGTTGTACATTGGCACCTGGGCACTTCTCTTGCTCTGTTTTCCCCTCTGCACACACTTCTGGGGCTAATGCACCTTTAGTATCAGCAACTCGGGCTCAGCGGGGAGAGGAAAAAAGAACTTTTCAGGGAATCAGTAGGGACACAGGTAGGACTTAACAGAGTCATTTTAATTGAGAACCTGCTGACCTGAGCTGAGCTAATGAAGTGCTATCATGTGTTACCTTTTTGTGGCAGTTCAGTCTTCTTAGCACGGAAGAGCAGATACGATTTTAGCATATCTGTTTCCGTGGCAGATGCGTTCCTGTCAGCCTATCCTTCCTTCCCAGCTTTAAGAAGTTTGCTTTGTCATTCAGTGTTTGGAAAGCAGTGTTGGCCAATGAGCAAGAATGGCATTTTCTTGCCTGGGTTACTTAACTGCATTTGTACTAACGGTAAAGAAAGGCGCCTATGACAGCTGTAAGGCTCAGAGTAAAGTGGATGTTTTTAGACCTGTAGCACTTCTCTGATCCTTAGTCTCTGATCACATCGAATCGGAAACCTAAGAGGGTTAAAATTGACAGTAATTTGGACCAGGCTCTCCTTAAAGATGCAATCTGCTGGAAAAAAAAGTGATCTTAATTAGTTCCTGTTCTGCACTTTTCCCCGTGAATAAGTAAACCCCCACACTTTGGAATAACACTGAGTATTGCGCAGCAGAGCTTTTGAATTTGTGGTTCTTGCCTTTTTAATCAGATACAGTCATGTAGTCTTTGTGATACTGAACTTCATCCTATCATTCCATGGCATCCAAAGCTAACAACCTGTGAGCAGGAATTCCATCGGCTAAGCTACACTGAGATTTGAGAGTGAAATTCTGCACTGAAGAGCTGAGAACAGCTTTCTTGTCTGTTGGGAGTCCCTTTGCTCTTTGGGCTGGCAAACACATTCTACATTTTCCCAACTGAAGAGGGCAGTGTTTTTTTTTTTTTTTTTGTGTAACAGCTGGTCATGACTTCTGCTGCTTTCACAGAAAGATCTGTTTGGGGAATGAATGGGCGATGTGATTGGCTAAGTTCATGGAAGCATCCTGAGGTCCTCCGCAAGCTAATATTTCTGTGGTGGTAGAAATTCCATAAAGGACATCTTGAGCGTTGTGAGAGGCTAAAAAGTAACAGAAATGCATGTTTTCCCCTTTGCTTTCTTTCCCTTTTCTGTAAACGGGCATGCAGGCGTGTTACGGGATCCTGAAGGTGCCGGAAGGCAGCTGGCTGTGCAGGACCTGCGCGCTTGGTGTTCGGCCTAAGTGTTTGCTGTGCCCCAAGAAGGGTGGTGCCATGAAGCCGACCCGGAGCGGCACCAAGTGGGTCCATGTTAGCTGTGCTCTGTGGATTCCAGAGGTAGGTGCCAATCCTCCGGGAGTTCAGGGCTGAAGTGATTCTGGGAGAGAAGAAATCTGTTAAAAACACTGTTCCACCTAGTGCGCGTTGCTACACTGAGTGTAGTGTATATATGCGTACTTCTTAGGAAGACAGTGTAGAAGATTTTCAATTAGATGCAAAGTCTGGCAGAATGAAGCATCATCTGTAAAGTAATTACATTGCCTTTGTCAACCAAAGATAGGCCTCAAAAAATTAGGCCTTTGCTGCTGGCAAAGCTCATTTAACAAGCACACAAAGTACCGTTTTATTTTGCAAACGGAACGTTACAGGTGAATCGGGAAGGTTTGGATGTGAGAGTGAGAATTCCTAAGGGTTCTCATAATCAAAGTATTCATCCTGTATGCTAATTGTAAATTAGAGGGCTTCACCTTGAAACTGTTTTGTTCATGCAATGAGGAACTGATTTTTTTTAAAAAAAAAAGGAATTTTAATCTTTTAGTTCCTTATAAACTGAGGAACTTGGAACATGCTGATTTTGCATATGCACACGAGGAATTTGATTTCTTTGATAAAATTGTTTCCCTTTTCAGTTCAGAGCGTGATAGTCACTCTGTGGTTTTTAACCTTTTTTTCTCTTAGGTGAGCATTGGCAGCCCAGAAAAAATGGAGCCCATTACGAAGGTTTCTCACATTCCCAGCAGTAGATGGGCACTGGTGTGCAGCCTTTGTAATGAAAAAGTTGGAGCTTCTATACAGGTAATTTAATTGCACAAATGTCCGTGTGTCTTGTTTTGTGTTTTTAGTAGATAGACAAAATATATATCCACAGTAAGCTTTCTGTGATTTCCTGTTTGTTACTACGGACTTAACTGCACACAAAGTGCTTCTGAATGGTGGCGTGCTCTTACTTTCTAGTAAAATTTTAATAGCCAGGTCATCCCAAAGGACTTCATAATTTGTGGATATGCTGATATGTTTATTAGTACACTGAAAAAAACTTTAAAAATGTTGTTGAGTAGAGGGAAAAACCTGTATTTCTGTGATGTACCACGTACAAAACCAAAGCTTGAATGCTGAAGGCTTCTGTGCTGGCACCTGTCTGCTAGTCCCTATTTTTAGTCACTTCTAAGACAAGTTGGGTACCTCAGTGGCAGTTGAGTATTTCCTGTAAGGACCCGAATATTTAAGCTGCAGAGCCTGCCCAGCTCTCGCTGAAGTCAGTGGAAGTGAACGCCTAGCTTTGAATTTTAGGTACGACTTAACATTGGACTGTTTTGGCTGTAACTGTTTTTTCTGTAACTGTTTTATTGTTGGTCCAGCTTTGAAGTTGCTGGTGAGAATATCTGATCATTTAATATTAGGCTTTTTGAGCAATAGAAAAGAAAGGGATTGTTTGACTGGTCTGCCCTGAGATTCAGGCAAGCCACAAGCTGAGGGAATAAGCCCTGTTTCCTCCAGTGGTTGTGGGTAGATTCTGGAGCTCCTGGCGTTTCTAAGGGGGAAAAAACACCTCCTGGATGTGAGTTTCCCAGTTCAGGTTGCTCAGCAGCAGTGCCACATTCTGACTTCTGGTACTCGCTTGAGCTCAGGGATGGGGACTGCCCGAAACAGCAAGATGGGGAAAAATTCAGGCCAAGTGTCTGATCTTCACAGTTCCAACAAGACTGGTTTCCATATGCAATAGATAAGTAAACTATAAAGCCGTTTCATGCCAACGACTCACATTCTTGGGCCAGTGCCAGTTTGTCTCATTGCATACTTCTGAAATTCTCTTTGCAGTTTCATTTGGATATGGATTCAGCCTTTCTCACCATAGCTGTGAGTTGTTGCTGTTAAATAACTGAATTGATCCGCACCAGAGCATTTCAGACTGGGCAGTGTGGTTTCACATGCACATCGATACTGGGTTGTTAGTGGTAAAGCACTTACAGATCCTGTAGAGCGCAAAAATCACTCAGAAATGTTAAATAGTAATTTTAAGAACAATTTCAAAATCCAGAGAGAGTGACAAAACACATTACCAAGCCCCAAATTTTTGAAAGGAGCTACTTGGTTTCCTGAGGAATGAGACACAACTTTAATCTACCTTACCTGAGAACAAATGATGAGGGAGAGTAAGGACAGGTGACCCACTCAGGGCCGTGCTGTGATTGCATAGAAAAAGAACAAAATGTAGTTTAGTCTTGTGGTAATGCTTTTCACCTTCAGTGTGCTTCAAATACTTCAGCAAAATGATCCTCAGAAGCTCCCTGAGATAGGAGGATATGACTGTCTCATAAGGAGTCTGAAGAAGTAGAGCTCTTCCTGTTTTGTGGCTAGCTTAATGTTACAGGATCCAGGATGGTAAGACCTGCATTAAGACACACAAATTGCTCAAGCCCTACACTTTTTAAAAATTAGGTTTTATCCATTTCCTTTTTTCCTCTGCTCTGAGTCATTTGTTGAGGTTGCCAGAAAAAGCTGTAAAGCAGCAATGCAGCAGTAGTTCCAGTGAAAGCGATCAGTCTGTTTCCATTTAAGGAATGTATAAAATAGTAAATGTTAAGTAGAGAAAATAAATCTGTCCACAGCATATAAATTTGCAATCGTAATACCTCCTTGCAGAGCTGTCCCCTTCCTCTTGGCCGCTGCTACGTAGTTGAAACTGTTTTGTCCTTTCTCCAGACCTGTTCTGAGGGGTAGCTCACAGCAGTTGAAGTTGAATGCTTCAGTGTTTGTGTATGTTAGTGTGCAGGAGTGTGTGTGTGTGTCCTTCCATATTTCTTCTGATACCACCTCTCCCCTTGCGATGACACAGGATGACATGCAGACACGAGGGCTGCCACTTCAGGTAGTTCTACATTTGAAATTACAGGGGAGAGACAAAAAAACCCTGCAGTTTTGCTTGACATTTTAGAAGAGTTGTGCAAATCTTGGTATCATTAAAGCTAGCAGTGAGAAATATTTAGATTTGTGGTGTGAAGTTGTATGCAGCAGAGAAGAACATTATACAAAGCTGCTGCAATAGAAAGGAAGTAGCATTAACTGGAGGAACAGAGCAAGTGAGCGAGCCTCCAGAGATGGTATTGAGATGTGCACCACAATTAGAAAAGCCGGCAGCAGGATGTTTGTGTCAGGCTGGGCAGAGAGCAGTTGCCATAAGCTGGGAAAAATGAGACTGCACGTTCTCCCAGGTTCAGATTTCCTTCCGACGAGAGAGGCTTTCCCCTCTTCTCCCAGTAAAACACGAGCCACACGAAGAGCTGATGATTCTAAATGACAGCAGCTTGGAAACCATAGCTGGAGTACTCCTCTGTCCTGTTTGGTGTTCCAGTTGGGCTGCTCCTGCCATTTGTTAGCAAGAGGGGAAAAGGCAAAAGATGCTTTGGTATTTTTAAATTCCTTTTATATGTTGCTTTTATTAAAGAATGTTCATTTGAAACTTCTGCAGTTTAAACTCTGTTGTACCTTTATATGCCATCTGGCTGAGTCAGCCTGAGCAGGAAAACCCAGAGGAGAAATATACCTGGCTTCTTTACAAAGTACTGGGTAAATACCCTAGTGCAGTGCAGTTCTCTTTGAGGGGAGATAACTTGGATTAAGCATAGTTTTCTTTCCTCCTAGTTAATAGCACTAATGGTCATTTCCACTTCAGATTTTTTTCACTGGAGGCAGAGGTGTGAGTTGATACTAATGCATATGTATGCATGTGTGTATATATGTCCGTGTGTGTGTGTGTATATATATCTCTATATATATGTGGGGTGTGTAAACCTTCCACTGTGTGGCTGGCAATAGCTATGACAGCATTTTGCAAGAGAAAGTTACTTACAATTGAAATGAAGTGCTAAGTCAGCTGAACGACTGCCCATCACTCCATGACGGCTGGGTTCACTGGGAGGGAAGAAAAATGACAAAAAATTGAATTTCCTGTTCTCATCTCCCAGGTGAAGTGAAGGCGTTAGTCAGTGAAGTAGTGATTGACAGTGATTTAATATTTGACATTCTAAAATTGGGATAACAGGGGAAAAAAAAAAAATTCCCCTCAGCTGAGGCCTTTTGGGTAGCATGGGTCCAGGTGCTGGGAAAAGACTTTTAATTAAAAGAACCAGACTGGCCTGGAGCCACTGAGCCGTTTTTCCCCCTCGGTCATGCTGGCACAGTCAAAGGGGGAATGTTGCCCTTTGTGTAATGCTGCCTTATGCGAGTGGCTCTGCTGACCTTAAGATCGCTCCTCTTGTGGATTTGCTGGTTATTGAATAGTGTGATTGGGCTGGGGAGGGGTTAACCACTCCTGTCCCACTGGGCCACTTGATCCTTGCCTGGCCTGAAAGCCCTAAATCATAACCCTAATTAAAAGAGAGCAAGAAAGTACACGCAGCATAGAAGCAGAGCACGGTAACAGGGTCAGTCTTCCAAAGCAGTTCTGGCTGCTCGAGTAGTTTTAGGCAGCGTGGCTTCTTAAATTTATATTTGATTAATTTTAATTTCTGTAGTGTTCAGTGAAGAACTGCAGAACAGCCTTTCACGTCACCTGTGCGTTTGACCGTGGCTTGGAGATGAAGACCATACTGGCAGAGAACGATGAGGTGAAATTTAAGTCGTACTGTCCCAAGCACAGCTCCAGCAAGAAAGTGGATGATGACGCTTTCAGTGAAGGCCCAGGCCAGGAGAACGGGAATGGGATTCAGGACAGCTCCCCTCCTGCCCACAGCGACCCTTTTCACAGCATGGATCAAAACCAGGAGGAGGCACACAGAGTGAGCCTCCGCAAGCAAAAGCTCCAGCAACTGGAGGATGAGTTCTATACATTTGTTGAGTCTTTGGACGTGGCTAAAGCGCTGCGGCTCCCGGAGGAGCCGGTGGAATTCCTTTACCAGTACTGGAAACTAAAAAGAAAAGCCCACTTCAACAAGCCTTTGATTACCCCAAAGAAGGATGAAGAGGACAACCTGGCTAAACGGGAACAGGATGTTCTATTCAGAAGATTGCAGCTCTTCACCCACCTCCGACAGGATCTAGAGCGGGTAAGCCACCGCCCCGCCTGCGCTTGTGCAAGGCGTGCCGGCCTTCATTAGCCGAGCTTCCATACGGAGCTCTCTGTTACTGCCCAGCATGCAGGCACTCTGTGCTGCACCTTCACTCAAAGTTGTGTAGTCAGAAAAGACTGTTAACACTCAGTTTCTGCAGAGCAGAGTGGTTGCACCGATTACCCTTGTCAAACGGAGGGCCAGTTCACAGGGCAGTGGGTCTTGGTGTGTAGCATCCGGTCTCCTCATAACTGGATTGTCATATTTCTGCTTGTGCTTTTTTTAATGATTAGCACTGATGACTGGGGCCTGTAGTGCAACCCCAGCAGCAGCTTTTTTAGCCTTTAAGGGCTTTCCCTGCTCCTTTCATCTGGTGTGCAAGAAGGAAAAGATTGTAATGCTTACGTTGAGTTGGAGCAGATCTGTTTTCCATTGACACAGCATAGGACGTTTCCCTGGACTCTGTAGTAGGTTGGGGAGGCACGTGATACTCCGCTCAATCAGGTTTTGAATGTTTAAAGAACAGTTCACTAGGGTCAGTTCGGTGTTTTAAGTACATCTGATCCTCTGAGGACCCAAATTCCTTCCTTTTTGGGTTTTTTGGGGGGGGTTAACTAGTAGAGTTTAAGATGTTAGAGCCAGAAAGAGCACTAACATTATTATTTCAGTTTTTCACGCCCGTACAGCATATAGCTTGTGTAGGTAGGCAACGTATGGAACTGGGCTCAGGAGGCCCTACCTCAGCCTCAATAACCTGTGGGTGAACTAAAGCCTCTCCTCCAGGTTAGCATCTAATCCTTCAGTCAGGATGGCAGATGCTCACACACCTACTGCATCCTTTGTAGAAGACAGGTGTAGTAGTCTCTTTGATCAGCTCAATGAGTTTGTCACTATGTTCACTGCATCTTAAATTATTCTGTATGTATCCTTTCCATTTTTAAGTGTGATGTCAAAACAGGATATAACACTTTAGTAATATTTTTAATATTTTATTACTCTGTTGTTCCTACTCATTGTATATTCAAGATAAAGTCAGGTAGACTTGATTATGAATAACATTAGTGATGGTGTCATCCATCTGGAAACAGATTTTGAAATTGTTACCCAGTTCACTAATGAATCGGGCAATTCTGCAGACATGACACAGCTGTTGCGCAGCTTGGATCAGAGTCGGCAAAGTACAAAAGGCCCCCCTGCGCTGTACGGGGCGGGGTACCAGGCCACACCAACCCCACAGCGTAGTGACAGTTAATTGAAGTACTGGCTGTCCCAGGACTGGAAGCCTTAAATCGAGCAGGACTTTAGCAAAGAAATAAAATTTCACAACCACCACTCTCCTAGAGCTTAAAACTTATGCAGCTGTCTGGATTAGAATGTCACATTTTAAGCGCAGAAATGTAGTTTTCTAGTAAAAAACCGATGAGATAGGCATAATAATTATTTTATTACTGTTTCCAGTCTGTGCTATGGCATGAAGAGACTTGCCTGCCTTTGTTTCAGTCCATGGTACTGCAATGGCAGGGTCATCAGGAAGGCTGGTACTGTTGAGTAGCTCTCCCCATTCTCATGCTATTAATTAAGTGTAATTTTCTGTTGTGTCCCAAAAAATAAGCAGCAAACGGTGCTAGGCCATCTAATACTGAGTGTATTTAAGCATTTCCCTAGATTTCCTGTAAATATGTAGAGATGATCCAGATGTTCATGGAAGTTACTTTTGTGCTGTAGGCTTCCCAAATCTGATTGAATCATCTGTCAATTACATGGTATTTAAGACTTTTCTAAGAAGTGTGTTGAAGAAGGTTAAATTTAAATACATTAACTAACTTGTTTAAATGGTGTATAGTATTTAAACTGAACAAATTCAAAGCACAGACTGACAACATTATAGAAACACAGTTCCTGTAAAACTCATCGCTGTGATGTTTTCTAGGTGCGTAATCTCACTTACATGGTGACCCGAAGGGAAAAAATCAAGAGGTCTGTTTGCAAAGTTCAAGAACAGATATTTAATATCTACGCAAAGCAGTTGGAACAAGAAAGAGTTTCAGGTATGTCAGTACCTTTTTGACACAGGAGCACAGGCACAAGCTTTGCTTACAGGCTAATGGCCAATTTTGAAGGACAATCGGGACCTCATTTATTCTCATTACAATCTTGTGTAGTCCACCATGCATCAGAAGATGGGAAGAAAAAAATGAGAATGGGTGTGGCTTTAATGGAGGGGACATGGTTAGGGAAAGGGGTACAGGCTGTGGCACCCTCCACAGGGCGCTGACTGGCTGCTCCCGCTCCCTTCTGGTGTGAGTCTTTAATGATTCCTTATGACAGGGACTGACATTCAGGTGCCACATGGTACCTGGTAAGTCTGTAGCTTATTAGTGCCACTGCAGTAATGTTTAGTGTGTGCTGCTTTGCATCAGAGATGGCAGTTGAAACAAATGAATTTTGAAAAAGTAGCACTCTGGTTTTAAAACAACATTTTTTTTTTTTTTCTGCCTAATCTCATTGACAGCAGTCTTTTCTCAGATGAATAACTTCAAAGTTACTGCATTAACTAGATTACCCTTAAAGTATTCAGTAACTAATAAACCATATTTTAGACAGAATCAATCAGATCTACTTGCTGATTGCCTTTTTCCCCTGAGGAGTTTCTCTTAGTGGCTATGGCAGTGCTAGGATTTATATTTGCTACAGGTGTAATTGGGTGCAGCACAGCTACAGGAACGTAAAGTACACATAGTATACTGTGAAACCATGACAGAGCCACGTAATTGTGCTGTGAAGGTGCTGGATTGGCAATCAAATACCTGTTTATGCAGAACATGTCGGGCACGAGGCACCGAGTTAAAATAGGTACATTCACGAGCAGCGGTATTTACCCAGACACAGAATTGCTTGACTTGAACTTACTTTGTTTACATTTAGGCGTGCCTTCCTCATTCTCCTCAGTGGAAAACACGGTGTTGTTCAATAGTCCATCTTTGGGCCCCAACGCCCCTAAGATAGAGGATTTGAAATGGCACTCTGCATTCTTCAGGAAACAAATGGGCACATCTCTATCCCGCTCTTTGAAAAAACCACACAAGAGAGACAGAGTAAGAACCAGCTCTGGGAACGACAGCAAGCCCCTGCTGAGGCAGCCTGGCCAAAGGGAAGGCGCTGTGGCTCCAGGTAGCTTTTTAAATTTTGACAAGACCTTTGCAGAAACACGGATGGTATCAGCGCAGCAGAAAAACGGCGTAGTTATACCAGAGCACAGAAAAAGAAGAGACAATCGTCCACAGTGTGAGGTCATCAAGGCAGAACTGAAGGAAAAGACTGCTAAACACAACCACAAACCACTGAGACCCACAGAACTCTCTCAGAGGCAATCAGAAAATAAAAGGGCTGTGAACCACTCCAGTGGTAGGTCAGCACCTGGCACGCGGAGGGATATAGTGCCTAAATGCAACGGGGGTCTTGTCAAAGTAAACTCTAATCAGACAGTAGTTAAAGTGCCTACGACACCCACGAGCCCAGTGAAAAACTGGGGCGGATTCCGTATTCCAAAGAAAGGAGAGAGGCAACAGCAGGGCGAGAGCCTGGAGGAGACCTGCCACCAGAACTCCAGCTACCCCTGCGTGGGCGTGGGCAGAGTTTCACCGAAGGACAGGGCAAAAAGCAAGCTCAAGCCTGACAGCGAGAATGATGGGTACCTGCCTGATGCCGAAATGAGCGACTCGGAGACTGAAGTGGCTGAAAAAAAGTGCAGGCAGCAGAGACTCAGTCCAAACAGCACTATGGGTAGGAGGACGGACATTATTAGGAGAAGCATCCTGGCATCCTGACTGGACAGAGATGGTGTCAGCTCTGCAGTTGGTAGAGTCACTGCCTACAAGCCAACGCCGCATTATTTATTGGTGTGAGAGAGGAGAGTTCTTAAGACATGGCTACAGACTGACAAATTGAGAACCCGTTATTCCTGAGCTGTATAAACATGTTTACATGCACTTAAAGCTGGTTTTTTTTTTTTCCCCTCCCTCCCCACCCCACCTCCCCATTCTGTGAGAAGCTTGAATCTCCTTTATTTGCAACTTTCTCCTGAGTAACCAGAGAAATGACATCACTACTAAAACAGGATTTGTGATGAACACTAAAATAACTCACCTTTTAGAAGGGGCTAGGGTGGGTAGGGAGAAGTAGGCTGCGTTCATCCCTTTTAGCTAAAAAGCACTGATAAAATTTTACTCCTTTCCCCTGCCTTCTGGAAAAAGCACAAGCTCTTTATTTAACTAGTGTGTATTGAATGGGAGATGGTTGGTTAACCATACTGCACTGCTAAACCCCCTTACAGATGGTCACTTTCCTTGGATGGTGGTAGGTTTTTCTCCTCTGCAGGATGTTTTCTGTTGCATTCAGTTTGCGCGTAGGTGGCAGCTCAGAACCCTCCCTGAGTTCCAGCGTTTACATGTAAACACACCTACAAGATGACCAGATTTAACCCTGATGTTATACTGGAGGAGGGAAAGGGTCAGGTCAGGGCTGCAGCAGCCTTACAGTGCAACAGCTTGAGAGGACTCGGACTGAGCACAGTGGACACTTGAAGGGCCCAGTTCTGGGAGGGGACAGGCGTGTGGGGTAATGCACCCTGCAGAATAACCCCTCACCGCTCAGTTACCTCCCTCTGGGAGTACGATGACAATTCAAGAAAAAATTTCTAAGGCACTAGTCAGTAGGATTTCCCAAAGGCCACCAGATATGCACTAGTGGTATGTATTGGGAAAGCCAGGCTTAGGGCACTAAAGGGTTGCTTCAAAGTGGACATGAATATATATTTTTAAATAGAATAAAATGGAAAGGCAATAAATTGTGATTAGCTCTTTACAGTCAAATGAAGAGAAACTATTTCATTCTATTCTGGACTAGATTTGATGGAAGAGGGAACTCATATACTGATTGCGTACTTTTTTAAAAATAATTGCAAATGGCAATAACTAGTAAGCTATGAGCAATAATATTAACAGATCATTAGGATACTGTTTTATACCAAGTAGAGTGCACACATAACAGTGGAGTGTTAGGAACCTGTAAATTTTGGAATTCTGCCTAGATGTAAGTCAGGTACGTACTCGTGAAACGTTTAAGCAGCAATGTGTTACAGAAAGACAAGCATAAAGAACCTCCTTCCCTGCTCCCAGCCTGACGTTACCGCATCCACTCACTGAATGTTAGAGCCTTGCCTCTTGAGCAGGGAACATTTAAAACACAGTAGAACTCTGCCGTAACTGAGTCTTCCAGAGGATTCAATCAAAAAAAAAACCACAAAACAAAACAGCTTATTAACACCCTATCTTGCTATGCAAGTTATTGTTTAATTAAATATTTCCAACAGAATGCATATCTATCATTTGTTTTAAAACTCAGAAGTCTTAACCTTTTGATACCTTTTAGGATTACGTTGAGGAAGGGGAATTTTGTGTAAGATAAAATACCATTGCTGGTCCCAAGGGGTCAGATTAACTGCATTACTTACAGTGGTGGAAGGCAAACAGGCCACTGGTGAATCTGAAATTCTGCAGTCACTCTTGGGATGTGCTAAAAGTACTTATTTGATCAAACAACAGCAGACAGATAAAAGGTAAATGCAGGTGAGTTCTACTACGTTTTCCAGACAGGCACTGTTATTTTCTGGAAGAAAGAAGCTCATGACCATAGAGGGAATTGTTTGTCAAGCCATAGATGGAATAATCTAAATTTTGATTCTAAGTAAACATTTAACCTCACATCATTTTGGAAGAGGTACCTTGTTCTTTTGCACTATTACAAATGCTAAGGTTGTGCAGAATTAATGCCTTATCTGTTTTGCTCCCCGACGTTTAGGTTAATAAGCTTTCTAATGTTTCAAGTTAAGCTGAACCAAAACCAAAAAAGCTCTAAGAAGACTGCAGTGTGCCCAGCTCTGTAGGTTAGTTTTGTCTCCCGTGCTTAGCGCTCAGAAGAGGTGTCAGAAGTACAGCAGTGACAATACAAGCCCACCCCTGTATTTTACTGGGATAGAACAATTTGCTGAATTTCTGGTTTTAAGCGTTACCTTTCCTTGTGCAAACTGACCAAGAGATCTTTGATTATGATTGGTGTATTCTGTTAAACTGTAGGCTAGTTGAACTTCTGTAAAGTTGCCTGGAATGCCATTTGTTAGGTTACAAACTCACACAAATCTAAATGAAGGGTTATATGTGTTGTGTATAAATCTTAATTTCAGAAATTTGAGAAAACTGTCATTACATTTGTAAAACCTTGTACAGATGATTTTTCACTATGTGCCTAGCTTTGGTGTCCATTCAGCTGAAATTAATTAAAAAAGGTGCATGAAGAGAAACAGATAGAAATAAAAAGTATATGTAGAGATGACTATTTTATATTACATGGCCCAATCCTGTATTTATTTTCTCCCTTTTTTGAAGTATTTATAAAGACCTAGTTGAAGACAGCTGTATTTTTTGTTAAAATATTCAGTAGAATTGTGCCTTTTTGTCTGTATGTGAATAAATGCTGTACATTTTTGCAGTACCCTCGCCAGCAGTGTTTTAGAATTTGCAGTAGTGATTTTGTTTGGATTCTTACATAAAACACTTCACTGCAATGATCTAACAACTTTCACAGTTAAAATAAGCATTTCATTTGCATTATTACAGGTATCAAAATTCACACTGTGGTTGCAAGAGAAAGGTATTGCTTCTTTTCGAGGAATAGCATAGGGTCTTGTTACTCTCAGCTGCGCCTGTCCCATCAACAGAAAATTGTATCCTTTTGCCCTTGAGATCCTCAAAGAGATGTTGCTGACCTCAAATAGTTTACGCTTGTTGATATACGGTGTCCTCCGAAAGTCCATGATCTTCCACTGGAAGAGGAACATGAGGTTTCTTACCTGTTGATCTTCAAGGTAAGTATGCCGAACGTGCGTTCACACTGAACACCTATATAGTCCAGCACTGCTGACAGAGAAAACCAGCACTGGGTAAATAACTGTACCCCTTTATAGAGCTTGCTGACAGCAGCCTTTCTGGAAGGCACCGCACTGCTGGGGTTCCCCGGGTAGGACTGGGTCAGAGCTGAGGGCAGCTTGCTAACCACTTCAGTAGACTATGAAAAAGTTCCTTGCTGTGACAGATCCTTCAAGGTTGGCCTGTGCCAGAAAGTATAGAGCTCCTAGGAAGACCCAAAAATGAAACTTACACTACCTTCATAGTCGGTTTCTCTCACCTGTGAATGGAATTAACTATTCCCCTAGAAACTCTTCCTGAATAAACACAGTCAAGAACAAAGTTTTACTCAATGGGAAGCATTAATACCACACTAGGAAATCTTTGAAACACTCAAAAACTGGTGTTGCGGTGGGAAAAGAAGGGAGGGGAAACAAAACCTTTGAATGGAAGAGTGACAGGAAACTTAGAGATGGAAACAAATGTAAGCCAACCAAGACAGATGGTTGCAAAGCCTGCTGCTCCATTCTATGGAACAGTCCAGTATTGTGAGGGAAAGAGCAAAACAAAATTCCTCTGAAAGTCCAATTTGTGAGCAACGCTCCAGCAGCTGCTTCTAGACACCAAAGGGAAATGAAAGGACGAGCTTAGCTTGACCACGTTCTCTTTTGTGGCTCAGACTGATGTATTTGGTCAGTTTTTAGCTGCTCAGAGGATTAGGCAGACAGCTGAAAGCAGGAAATCTTTTTATTTCCTGTGTCATCTGCCATAATTGCTCTGCTACCCCTTAGCTTTATTATTGGGTGCTTGTGTCATCATTGCAATTCATATTCTGGCAAATAACCTTTACACAAGAGCTATACCACAAGTGACAAGAATATACCTGTAATTAAAAGGGAACCAGGCAGGTGCCCTTCTGTGCCTCAAGGAACAAATACACAAATAGTGTTGCCCAAAACCTCACCCTTACCTGCCATTTTCAGGCAGGTTTCACTTCACAGCTAGAGCCTCGCTTTAAGGAGTGAATGGGATTTATAGCTCCCCCAAGATCTTCCAGGTGGTCGGTCATCATCTCAGATGCGCATTATGCAAATGAAAATAAGGTGTTTGGTACTTACCTCTCTCTGCATCATATACACAGTTGACTGATGAAAAGCTCACCACAACAGACGTTCAGAGCTTCTGGACATTGTATCCATGGTGCTTTGAAAAATCTTTGAAGTCTTTCAGCAAAATGAGAGATTGCAATGGATACAGGCATATATCAAACTGAGAAAGCACTAGCAAAGGGTGTACAACCGTAGGAAATAGTTACTTCCTCTGCAGTAAGCAGAATTTTTTTCTTGAGGTTACATCCCTTTTGCAGGCTCTACTTGAACAGCCAGCGTTGCAGGAGGTGGCACAAACTCTTACTTCTGTCCTCTAAAATGCAAATATGGTCACGATCCACTGTGGCAGACATACGGGTTTGCTAGTCCAAAACAACAGTTCTCATCAAGCACTGGGTAAGCATTATCCATCAACTCAATTAGAACTTACAAACCATAATTATACTCTTCACATTTAAGAGGAAGGACAAGAAATTACATCACTTAAGGCCAAGATGGGAGCACTTCAAAATCAGTTAACACCTATCCAATGTTTATAATATATGCTAAAAGAAAAAACAGAGTTCAGCTCTAATTTTAGAATGAAAGAGATGAAGTTTCTCAACTATTGCACGTACACGCAAGAGGATTCCCACATACTGGCAGCTGTAGAATTCAAACACACTTCAAATGCATCAAAGCTGCATGACTGGATGACTTCACCAGGTTTGTGCAAATTGAAGTAATAGAGAACTAAAGTTCCCAAACAAACACATACAAACCACAAGAGCACATCAACAGAAAAGCAAGGAACCATTGTCAAATAGTAATTAGGAAGAAAAAGCACAACTGAGGAAAGATAACGATCCTTAGAAACGAGCTGTATGAATAGCCATAGCAGCATTTTATTGATTAACTGTTGCCCAGGGGCATCAGAACACACTGAACTGAATTCTTAAAACTGGAAAGCAATGGAGGCATTTTGCAGCTGTAACACCTACTATAAGAACAGCAACGATTTGACATTCGTGATGTAGTTAGTGTCTTTCTTACTACAATTCATAAAAGATCTTCAAAATGTTCTCACTGCACTACAAAGAAAAATTAAAGGTATCAACTATATGTGAGCAAAGCTGTTCAGGAATTTCAGCCTCATGTTATCTATTCCCTGTACACAATCTTGTCATAGTTGGAGGTGGTGGCTTTTAGACCAAAAAAGACCAATATGCCACAGAACTGTATCATCTGTTACATTAAAGGACTTTAATTACATCATTTTGCAGTCATCTTCCAATCTTTACTACGCATACAGCTACAGTATCTTCATTCACCCCCTTTCTTACCTGAATAAAACGTTTATCTAAGTTTTACAAGCCTTGCTACGTGTTTGGCTTTAAAGCTCCAATATGAAGTTTCTCCAGCAATCTTCTTAACTAACTCCCAACATGGTGTGAATGAACAAGACATATGTTTAAATGTTTTCCAGATCCTTCAGGGAAGCAGCTTTTTTCTTCCGTGTAGTTATCAGGCTGAGCTGTAATTAAAAACAAGCAGATAGATAGTTTATATAATTTTTTGTAAGATCATAGTATCAGGAGAACTTCAACATGGAAGGTGTCATGAAGGAGAGGGAACAAGCACAGCTAAGTGGGAATTTGGGGTAAACAGTAGAAGTTACAGTGCACTCTATGATGACTACTGCTTTTGTCTTATTTTCAGATCCCAAAGAATTCAAGATGATGAAAGATTAGGTAGCAGGAGTACACCTGAAAAACATATACATAGGATACACATATTTTAAACCTGTGGAAACTTTATCCTGTATTTTTTTATGTTTCTTACTAAATGATGATTATTTAATAAGCCAAGATTTATAGTCATTGAACTAACCACAATAAAAATGTAATTTCTAGACTCCCTAATAGCCCAGCTCTAGCCTATATCAGATTTAATTTCACAAGCAAGCCGGATAATCTAATGAGACCACACAATTAAGTCAAGTCAGAAAGTAGCCCGCAACCTACAGATTGAGAATACAGAGAAGAGTTACCATTCTGAATCTGAGGAGGCACACACATGAACATGCAGTCTTCTGAGAGCTAGAAGAGAATAAACACCGTGTTTCTTCAGATTCAGGGAGCACGCATTCCCGCAGCAGAGACCTTTTCGCTAGCCTTTAGTGGCACAGTGCTGGTATGTCTTTTTTTGGGGAGAGGAAGGGGCTTGGTACAGAAGTTCTGAAGTCACTACAAAGAAGCCATGCCTGACAGCTGGCAGCGGTAATCTCTGCCAAGCCTGAAGAGGGCAAGGAAATTCTGAAGACTGGCAGTAAGATCCGGACAGCAATTTAGCTGCTAAACGTCTCAGCAAACGTCTTTGTTACCTTTCAGAGGGAGACTGGTAAGGAACAGCTAATTATCGATGTTCTCAGCAACAGCAAGACCTCTTCCG